AAAAAAAAAAAAAAAACAAATAACCAAGATTTTAAATTTTTCCAAATTGGAACTAACGAGCCTTTATTTTCGTCTTTAGATTTTTCAAAAGGATTTTCTAAAGAAACGGCCAATTAAGATTCCTAATTTTTCCCAAGCTGAAACAAACGAGCATTATTTTTGTCTTTACATTATTGCAAAAACTTGTTCTCATTTCCTTCTTCCAATAATTAATTTCACCTCTTATTTTATCTTTTCTATGAACGTTTGAAATACTATTGGCATGAAATATCATCGACCGACGAAATGGATTGTCAAATACGGGATTTACCAAGGCAGATTTGGTCTATCGACACGCGTGTCAAAGATAGAATTCGACGATAGAGAAAACTAGACGCAGGAGATCCATTGGATAGAGCCTCGCGTAGAGACTGTGTCGTACGTGTCATGAATAAAACATTGGTAACCGTGACTGAAAATAATATCGATGGCGCTTGAAAATTCTGTGGCGGCCTCTCGCTTTCGAAACGCTCGCCTGCTTCTCGCTCGAGCTCGGAAAATAAGGCGATAATTTGTCCTATCTTCAATCACGAAACTACAGCCCCAATTCTTTGGCGAAGGATTCACACAAGATCATGTTGCAACTCGCCTGTCATTTCTTCTCTCTTCTGTTTTCCTAAGTTATTTGTCATTTCTCTTCCTTTAGTTTCTTCTAATTTGTTTGTCTTCTTCTTTGATTGACGCATTGTTATAGTTTATTTAGAGTTTGGTTTCAATAGGTGGATCTACAATGAACATTTGAGGATTGAGGATGAATGTTATTTGGTTAAAAGGATCTCATTTGGTAAAAAATAGGTTTAGTACTTGTCTTCATTTAAGGTTTGATACTTATCTTCCTTCATTTAAGGTTAAGGTCTTCTTTTATTGCTGAAAGTTCTCTTCTTTCTTTGCAGAATGATTTCTTCCATTTAACCCTTTGAGCTGTAACATTGAGTTATACAGAATAAGGATTATGGTTTCCATCAAAAAATTGCAGTGCTAATATATAAGAAATAAAATTTTCAACTGAAGATTAATAAATACAAACTGTATATATAATGCTTCCAATGCTTTGCAACAAGTGCATCAACAGTTCGCATCTGTGTAATATGTTATAATAACTAAAGTTTGCTGAAGACTATTGTAAGAAGAGGGATAAATTTTCGTTTTCCATAAATGAAACTGTAATCCACAAAAGGGAAGAAGAGCAGCGTCATTAATTTACATTGAAGACGCTGAAAGTGACGTGACATAATCATCGCATCATCCTTCAGTTAAACTATACAAAAAAAATCTTTCACTTCAAATCATCTTTCTTGCTCAGAAGCTGGAAACGTGCCGCATGATTCCTCAACGACAAAACTTCAGATAATAACATACT